ACCCTGCCACAAGCAGTACAACAGAGCCAGCCCGGCTTGTCCATTGGGCTTGGGTGCTCCAAGCACAGGTGGTGAGAGGGCTCCAACAGTCCCAGCAGGCTGCGTACCGAAGCTGGTCTCACTTAGGACGCTGTAACGCTCCCGCAGAGACAATGGCGTCAGTGTCCTCCTCCGCTCCTCACTGCCACTTCCCTGTGCGATTGGGGACAAACCAGGGCGTCACTAGCTTGGAAAGAGGGCAGCAGCTCTGCCCTGGCACCACTGCTTCCTTAACAGCCCCAGAGCGGCATGACATGGCCACATGGAGCAGCTGAGGAAGAAAAGCTGACAGCGAGGGCTGCCTCCTCCGCCTGGAGGAGGGACAGCCCCCCCTGCTCCCACCCAGAGCTGCTGGAGCCCCGGCACTGACCTTGGCGCAGGGCGGGATGCTGATGTTCAGGTGGCAGAGCACATGCTGAAGGTCCTCGTACTTCATGGCCTTGCGCAAGAAAGACAGGGAGCCACTGGCTTCCCGGCTGCTGTCCCGAACCTGAGCACCAAGAGCGGGTGAGGTGGCTGGCACGGGGCGGGCGCAGGGGCTCCGCCTGCAGCCCAGCCCGGCCCTCTGCCATTACCTTGATAGGGATGGTGAGGCGGTTCTCCCGGAAGGACTGGAAGAGGAAGGTGCGGGGCTGAGTGGCCTTCTTGACAGGCACCAGGTTCCCCGAAAGCTCGACGTGCAACGGCATCCCCTCCACCACCTGGCAGGGAGCAGACACAGACTCAGACCCTGCACGGAGCTGCCTCCCTGTGCCTCTGGACAGGGGCAATCTCAACTCCCCTCTCCAGGCCAGGGCCAGGCTCCTCCACTGGCATTAGCCTCCCCTTGCTTGGGCAGCTCTCCCTGCTGTCCCTCGCTCACGTTGCTGGGGACAAACCTCGATGTCCCTGCTGCGGGCCACCTCAGTGAAGTTTTCATGCTGCTCTAGAGTCTTGTCCACCTTGTCGTCAGTCATGCAGTAGCAGCGCAGCCGGCCTTCCCGTGCATCGTTCATCTTGGCAAACACCACGAACTTGGCCATGTAGGGCACAGCCGTCAGCTCCTTGTACAGCATGGTGGCAAAGTGCACGGCCTCAGCCGTGCGTGGGCAGTCGGCCAGCCAGAACCTGTGGGAGGGCTGGGCTGAGGCGCTGTCAGGCAGCTTCCCTGGCAGCACCAGGAGAGTTGCCCCCTCCTCAGCAGCAAATCCCACCACAGAAGGTGCCCCAGGAGCCCTGGGTACAGCAGCAGTCCCCCACCCGTGACGGGGACCCACGGTGGTCTCAAGTCTGGAGGTAACTGCCCTGCCTGTGGGAACGGGGCAGCACCGCAGCGAGCACAGAGGCCGGAGGCTCCTCCTGGCACAGGGGCACTCGCGGAGCAGCACATGTTCCCTGATGAGCACACAGTCTCCCAGGACTCACCTGGCAGACACATTGGTGGTAAAGTTGGCACACTCGTTTTCATAGACCAGTTTTGTGGTGCCTGTTATGTCTTCCCACTGGGCTTGGGCTGTCCCTCCTGCAGCAGAAAGCAAAGGTGAGCACCCTGCCTTTCCGTAAGCCTGGGGTCTGCATCCCCCAGGCATCCGCTCTGTCCACCACCATGACCTGCCCATATCTCCCGGTAGCTGCAGCCCAGTCAGGGGGCCCTGACTGTGCCCCC